TTTTTTTTTTTTTTTTTTGTTCAAGAGGTCTCAAAATGTGGAGATTTGCTTAAAACTGAGGGTCAAATTTCAATTATTCCAATTTATTAAAGTAGAAATTACATTACAGATACTAAATATATCTTCACTGCTCGTCATGTCCAACCACTAGGAACAACTATTCTTCACTGCAGAGATGACCTTTCTTTGTAGGCTACTACTCTGCACAAATATGTAAAACAGTCTAAGATGTCCACAAGTGATAATCCCAACACAATTAAAAATATGACATTTCTTTCTTTGTTTTCTGCCAGCCCTGTTTTACAAAGAAATGTTATATTTTTAATTGTGTTGGGATTATCACCTGTGGACATTTTAGACTGTTTTACATATTTGTGCAGAGTAGTAGCCTACAAAGAAAGGTCATCTCTGCAGTGAAGAATAGTTGTTCCTAGTGGTTGGACATGACGAGCAGTGAAGATATATTTAGTATCTGTAATGTAATTTCTACTTTAATAAATTGGAATAATTGAAATTTGACCCTCAGTTTTAAGCAAATCTCCACATTTTGAGACCTCTTGAACAAAAAAAAAAAAAAAAAAGGCAAACGCAAACAAAAATTAAGGATTTTTTTTAATCAAGACAGTTAATAAGTCTTCATATAAAGCCGTCTAGCTGCTAAATATAGCTATGATAATTAAAATGATATCCAAGATGATTTTGATGATGATACAATAACAAGTATACAGGTTAATAAGACTTACTGTAATACAAATTAGTTACAAAATAAAAATCTTTTTGCTGATATCTCTAATCTGCCTCCTTTGTATCTGTCGAAAATTCTGAGTGAACAAAGATGAACAGATTATAGAGAATCAACTATATATTCAGTATTATAATAAAAATATTACATTTTTTTTTTTAATATTTGATATTTAAATAAATTAAGTTAAATGATATAATGTAAAAACTTAAATTAGAATATTTGAAATAAATTCATTTGTAACAAACCTTTCCAATTCTGGAAATCTGTAATACACCATTAAAAGACTAAAAACTGAAGTAATAAAAACAAATATAAGAACTAAAAATGCTTGACTTGTACTTTGAACATTTTCTTTTTTATCTGGAAAAACAAAAATAAAAACATTAACTGAATCAAATTATTCCAATTAAGTATTTGTAAATAAAAAAAAGTATTAGCTAGTTCAAAATTAATGTAGATTTGTATTTACTTATTCTAATATTAATAAGTCACAAAGAGTATAAATGCCACCTCCTTATGGTAACACTGCCTGGTAGCATTTTTATGATATAATCAAACATTCCGTATGAAACTTTAAAAAAGCTTGTCCTCAAATTTAACCATTTTATCATTAAAAAAATAAATAAGTTATGTTGTTTTACATTAAAATTATATTAGCTACCAATAATGATTAATAATAAGAAAATTGCTTTAAAAATAATTTTAAAGAATTTAGAATAAAAATTTAACTATGATAGCATAAAATTTGCAATTCTTTGCTGAATCAATATCTAAACCATAAAAATAATAATAATAAATTATTACATCTATAATTTAAAAAATCTCTAGAAATTTTATGAAAATCAAAATATCCAAGTTTGATTAATTACAAAATACAGTGGACCTTTGTTATAGTGCTGCTTGCTATACCATACACTTGGTTATAGCACGAACGATATTCGCGACACAATAAGCTCAAACACATTTATACAGGTCTGTGCAGCATTAGTGAGTTGCACATTTTATTGTTACTGCATATTGAGTAATTGTGTATGTATTGAGTTCCTGCACATATTTTGAATAGTGTTTAATTATTGTATGCATGATGACTAAAAGAAAAGCTTACAGTGTGAAAGAAAAGCTTGACATTATTGCTAAAGTAAAGAGTGGAGTTTTGAAAGCAAACATAAGAAGAGAATATGGCATATCTGAAGGAACTGTAAGGGTTGGATGACAGAGGAGACAAAACTGAAATCATTCGTTGATAAGCTTGACCAAGATGCTGGGCTTTCTCAAAAAAAGACAAAACTTGGAAAAAATCAAAATGTTGATAATTGCCTCTATGCATGGTTTGTGGAAAAAAGAAGTGAAGGAATTCCCGTATCTGGAACTGCTTTAAAGTTGCAGGCTGAAAAATTTAATGTAAGCTTAAAAGCAGAAGGAATTTTAAGGCTTCTGATGGTTGGTTGTGGTGTTGGCAAAAACGACATGGCATTTTCCAAATTTCCATTTCTGGTGAAGCAAAGTCTATAGTGATATTAAAAATGCTGCAGAATTTTCCAAAAAAGTTCACAATTTCCATTAAGAAAGAAGGGTATACTGATGCACAAGTTTATAACTGTGATAAGACTGCATTATATTACAGAATGTTGCCAAGTAAAACCTTAGATCTAAAAAGTAACCTACAAAAGGGAGATTAAAACTAAGCAAGGAAAGGATAACAGCTTTATTTTGTGTAAATAAAGCTGGTAATCACAAGTTGATGCCACTCATTATAGGTAAAAATCAAAACCCACAATGTTTCAAGTCAATCAATATAAAATCTCTGCCAGTTGTTTATAAAAACAGCATAAACGCTTGGATGACTTCTAACATATTTCATGATTGGTTTCACAATTCCTTTGTTCCCTCTGTGCAAAAATTTCTGAGAGGATTGAGTCTAGATCCAAAAGCTTTGCTTCTCATAGATAATGCACCATTGTCAGACACCAGCTGATAACCTCGTGTCTGACAATGGTAAAATAAAAGTAATGTACCTTCCAAAAAATACTACTGCTCTTACACAACCCTTAGATCAAGGCATTATTAGTGCTTTCAAAATAAATTACCAAAGAGAAATGATGAAATCATTATTAGCATCAGACATTGATGTCAACATATTTTTAAAAAAAATGGATCTCAAAGATGTGTCCTACAGTATTGGACTTGCCTGGCAGGCAATCACATCAGAGACAATTAGAAACTGTTGGAAAAAATTAAATGAATCTAACAATCAAGTTGATCTCAACCAAACCACAACACATTCAGATTCAGCTTCAGATAATATCTTCACTGAGGCTGAAATTTCTCATATCCGGGAAATATTAAATGATCCAGAAATAACTAATGATTTTTTGACTGACTGGTTAGATGTGGATGCTAGAGAAGATATTTGTCAGAATATGACTGATAAAATGATTATCAAATCCATTTGCAGTGACGAAGATTGTCAAGAAGAAACAGAAGATGATGAAGAAAGTGCCAGTGGGATAGCTGATATACCACCAACAACCATATAACAGCCATGGAAACCGTTATAAAACAGGCTGAATCACAAGAAAATATTAACAGTGTCAGATTGTTGCAATTAGCATCTTTCAAAAGGGAAATGATACAGAAGTTATCAAAAACCAAACAAACAAAAATTACTCACTTTTTTAAGGGATATTTTGTAATTGAAATGTCAAATACATAGATTTTAGTCAAGTTATAGATAGTGTTTGTTTTTACATACAGTACTGTATTTTAAAGCAAACTTTATGTACGTAAATAAAATAAAACTGTACATATACAGTATATACTTATTAAGATGTATAACTATGTTATGTGAATTTTAATAAAACACTTAATAAATAAATTGCTTTTTTTATTAAAATACATAATATGTATGTAGTTGATGGGATGTTTCAGTATATAGCTCAAATCGTTCTGAGTAAATTTATTGTGTCACCACCGCACCGCTTGGTATAATGCAGTTCACCTTATAAAAAATGAAAACAAAACAGAAAATTAAAAAAATACAGTCGACCCCCTATAACTCGGTAGATATGTTCCACTTTATAAGAATTTCACATTGTAGGAATCCTTAAATACATGAGCCAATCACAGCCCGGCACATATGCCATTTATGGACTACGGCTGTTTGAATGGTTTTCTTCCATAAAATTAATCGATTCTATACTAATTTGACTCTACATTTCCAAAACACATAATTTTTTGGGAATAATCCATATAAACTATGCTATAAACAAAAAAGGTGTAGCATTACTTATCGAGTGTGCACCGTTTGACGACACCATTGCTTAAGCTCGTTTTCGTCATGGAGCGATGCATCGTACAGTGTTTCCTGATAAATTATTTTTCTGCAAAAAATTTGTTGAACTTTGGAGACATCATTAATATAAATATAATTTTTATGGCTGTTAAATAATAAATGTTTTTCAGTAGGTCCAGTGCTTGTTTAATTTATTTGTTCCATTTTTTGAAAAGTTAAGCACGAAAAACAAATCATTGTCGTCAAATCTTAACTTGGCAAATTTTGTCATAGAATGTTACAGTATTACCAGAAACTTGATGTCATGTTAATAAAATTGCCAAATTCAATACAATGCCAAATTAATAAATATATACTTACTGTTTTGCATACATTAGAATTAAGGTACATTAATGCCAGAAGACAGTACGTGGGTATTTATTAAATGCAATGTTTATCAAACCACGATCTACAGACTCTTCAGAGTTCAAAGGGAGGCAAATTGCATGTTAGGAAATACATCATCACTGCTCTATTGTGCAGTACCTGAAAAGTTCAGTTTTCAACAAGAAGAAAGTTAAGAGAAAATACATCGGAGATGTGATGTGGCCAAGACAAACAATGTCCAAAGGTAGTCATGCAACCAAACAACATTGAAGCAAGGTCAGGGAACACTTTCGTACTCATCCGCCATCTAACGCATTGCTCCACGAGAAAAATGGGCGTCTCCAAAAGCGCATGCTCGGCAAATAGTCTGCAATTTTTTGTTTACAGCACTTTTTAAATGGGTCACCTCCAAAAACTTCTGTGTGCTTCAGAATTATCTATCAAATACATCTCTGTTAAAAAGTTAAAAGAAAGTACGTACATAATGGACTGCTTCTATAGAGTGTATTCAAAATCTCAGCATCAATCCAGCGAGATGCTGCCAGAAGTGACGCAACTGCTGGTGTTTTCTAGAGAACACAAACACTGACTGCTGGGAATTTCGGGAGAGAAAAATAATAAAAATGGCAAATGACGTGGACTTCCATGTTACGTTAAATGATTTTTGAACTTCTTTAATTAGAACAGATTAATAAAAAATAAAAATTTCAAAAAGAGAAATAGAGATAAAGATATTTTAAATTTCCTAATTAAATAATTAAATCAATCCTAAGATTACACTTTAACAACTAAAAAAAAAATTACGTGATGTCTTAGATAAATATACTAGTATATTAAAATATTCTATTAACGTACTAACCGAATATTAATTTATTTGGGGTTTATTCATCGACAAAGAAATTAAGGTTAAATTCCAGATATGTATACCGTCATGGCGGCTCAATCTCTAATTCCAGCAAACAAAAGAAAGGACAGCAAACAGTGGGGACGCACGTTCTAACCTAACCTAATCTATTCTAATAAATTACCATAATTATTACCAACCAAATTATTAGAATAGGTTAGATTAGGTGAGGTTAGAATGTGCGTCCCCACTGTTTCCTTTTGTTTGCTGGAATCAGAGATGAGCCGCCATGATGGTATACATATCTGGAATTTAACCAAAATTAAATTGAAAATTGTCAATGCAAAATAGAGTTCTTAAGAGCCTTATAGTGGCTGCCATCTTGTTTGCTAGCTCATCCAGTACCGTGAAAGACGCTTACAGTTTGCTGAGGGCACACCAGCAACAACTGGAAGCAATCTGAGATTTTGAATACGCTCATAGTTTTACCTAAACTTCCTTGTCTGTACGATATATTGTGGCATTCCTTTTTATTCTACGACATGCAACAGTGCACCATCGAACACATTTGTTTCAAGGGGATAAAAGTACCCACAATTAGAACTCGATGTACCGAAAAACTTTTCAAAAATCTGTAAACACAACTTACGTCATCGTTTTATCCAGGAATACAAACCAAGAGATTATTTAAAAAAACTCAGCAGATTAGCACTTCAGAAATACTAGAATAAAAGTTAACGTATCGACTACTACGGCTATCAATCTCGTAACAGAGAATAATTCGGAAATGCCATCACTTGACCCTATAATGCTTTTAGAAAGCCAGTCTAACGTCTCAAATCTAACTGCGAATTAAAATTATTGCTCTTTATTTATGTGTAAACATCTGGACACGCTAATACAAAATATATTAAAATATATGTAATAAAATATATTTAAAATTTAAATAAATTTCTCTAAATGTATAGTCAACCGGTTAAAGTTACCATTTTCTATTTTTTGGTCTTCTTTTTTCCATTTTTCATTCACCGAATTAATTTCAAAATCATTCATTTTTCTTTCCCTGATGACGTCCATCTTAGTTTTGATCTGTAACCACTCTACAGTGTTGCCATATCAGTAATATGAAATCGCGGCTTCACGTCTTAGACCGCGCTCCAATAAACACTGCCTACTCGATTTAATAAGAATTGTGTTTCGATTAATAATAATATAAATTTATAATTTATTTTATAATTGTTTGGAAATACCCGAATTAGGTTGAAGTATCCGAAAAATTCTCTTATGAGAATTTTCTAAAGTTCGCTTTCTTCAGAAGCGTTAATAAATTCGATTCATTCGAGTGTAATGTTTTAAATATAACCTTCTCTCAAAATAATAAGATTTCATTAACAAAAATATAATTTATATTTACCATATTTACTCGCATATAAGACGAGGTTTTTATTCATTTTTCACGGCTTCATAAGCATAAGTCGTCCTATACGCGCGAGCGAAGGATTTTTTTTTTTTTTTTTGAGTTTTTGCAATAATTTTTCTGAACCGTGTATTCTCATTTTTTACGGGATGCTTATCCTCTGGTGTTTAAAAACAAAAGTATTTTATCTGGGTCATTTCAATCGTTTTTGTATATTATCAAGAGTAAAGATGAATAGCAATAGGCAAAAAGCAACGCTTTTGAATTGAATTCCACATTGAAATTCCAAAATCACACGGGAGCCCGATATAAGTTTTAATTCATTCCCACGTGAAAACAGATGATTACTCGGAAATCAGAATTCGGAGAAACTCATAAGTTCCTTATGAGATTAAGAGAACATCCAACTAGATGTTAATTTAAGAAAGACTATATCGGCGTCACCAACAGTAGCTTGGAAGTAAGACTAAAAGAGCATAGATATAACGTAAAAAAAGGATCCAATGCTACAATTTTGTCTCAAATGTCGCAAGTCCAGAGTTCGGTGGTGAAATGGGACGAGGCAACAATTATAAAACCTGTATCTTCCCCAACTTTATCAATGGCGCGGAGAAGATTGAAATGTATAGAAATGGGCTACGTGAACGGTGTTTAAATGCGAGAGATGCTGAGAGCCTGCCGTAGTGTTACCACCCGTCCGGTTTTCACCCGGACAATCCGGGAATTGACATACTGAACGGGTGAACTGTTAATTTTGTCCGGGAATTTCGTAGAAATTGTGAAATTACGATGAAACAAAGTTCTTGCAAATATTTTTACAAATTTACACTATTTTTAACAGCAAAATAACTCACACTCACTGAAACTCGTCTGCAATTCTGCCATGTTCGTCCGTTTACGTGTGGCGCGCAACCTGTCGATCTTTTATTTATTTATTTTTTATTTTTTCTTTTGCACGCACGATCGTACACGTCTACGGGCTAAGTTATCTAGCACGTTATTTTTCGCATTGTAAAATGGCATTGCGCATGCATCAGGAACTTCTGTTCGAACAAGCCTGATATGTCATCCGGGTCAGATATTTTGAAAAGGTGGTAACACTAGCCTGCCGTCAGCATGGAAGTACAGTACATGGTTAAAAAGTTCACTAAAAACACAGACTAGAATTAGTTTATTGGAAGATTTATGATATTTTTATTTTTATTTTGTCTTAATTTTATATGTTCTTCCGTTTCTCTTGTATAGTTTTAAAAATTTTTTGTTCTAAATTTTGATTTAAATATTTGTATTCTATACATGGAACGTATCTGTTCCATTTTCGTTTTTGACCTGACGATGGTCTGTTAATCGGGCTGAAAACGTTTGTTTTTCAATTATATATATCTCTCAGCAACAAATTAAGGTGTTTTATTTTTATGTGTTTATTTGCTGAGCACTTTTAATGTTAATGAAATTCATAAGTTTAATCGACGGAGAGTAAATTCCCAGTGGCGTACCGCGGGTGTCAGCCGTCCGGGCGGAGAAAAATTTTGCTCCCCCCTTATTTAGGTATTTCAATTTAAAAGACTAAAATTCAGTTTTGTCACAGAACAAGCAATGAAAAATTCGGTGGTAGTGCAGCGACCTGTTTAAAATAGTTCTATTGGATATTAGTGGTGTATATGAACGCGAATGAATCGTACAAGTAAAAAAAAAGGTCAACAGGTTTTGCAGAATTTCCTTAAATAAATATAATTCCTTGGATCAAATATTTTAATGGATTTTTGTAAACTCCTGTCAACTATACAGAACTATCGTAAAAACATACCAGTAAATTCTTATCGGTTGGGTTAAGTTATAAACAGCGGCGGCCTTATCCATTGCGAGGCTCTGGGCGGCAGATCTTTGCGAGGCCCTGGGCGCAGGCCCTTGTCCTTTGTGCAAAGTATGTGAATTGAAATAGTAGGCACTTATTAATATTAATATATACTGTACTATAAATTAAATTTATTTTATTGTTATAACTAATAGCCAAGGATAAAATAAAAAGTTTTAAATATCAACTTTTTTCTACTTGGTTGTTGCGCGAGGCCCCTCCAAGAGCGAGGCCCCGGGCGATTGCCCTGCTCGCCACCCCCTAAGGCCGCCACTGNGATTAGAACCCGGGTGCCCCAAAGCGGTAGGCTGCCACCTTGACGCTCGGCCATCCGGCCATTTTAAATGTTCCCATGCCGGGAACGAATCCGTGACAGAAATCTGAATGAAAGCCAGATATCCTAAGCACTGGACCACATATAGTTTAAAAAAAAAAAAAAAAAACGGCATCAATTTCCTGTAGATTGGAAAATGTTCATATATGAGAAAGAAAAAATAATATTTCGTTTATTTTATTTCTATAAATTTTCCTTGACCTTCGTTATATCGCTGGTAATTTTTATACATTCTTTATAATAAAATTATTATATAAAAATTACATATAAATTTTCATTTATATAATTTTCATTTATCTGTTATAATATATAAAAATTATAAAAAAATTATAAAAAAAATAATAAAAAATAACTTTCATTTATCTGTTAGATATTTATAAATTTGAATAAAATAATAAATCACACGTCATAAAAATTCATTTAGGAAATTTATTATATAATATGTATCTCAGTAACATTAATTTCGTAAATACTCTTAAATATTAATCAAGATTAAAACATTAAAATAAATATATACTTTTATATTTTTAACAATAAAATAATTGAAATAGAAATATATAACGTATATGTTTATAATAATATTAAATGCGAAATTAAAATTGGCATCTTAGACTAATTAATCCAACTTACCAAAGAGAAAATATGGAGGAATTTAGAATATTTCTTGATTTCTATAAATTGTTTTAAATATAAATAACTATGAATTATTCTCTATTATTTGGATAATACTTACGATTTTTTTAAACATTCATTTTTACCAAATTATTAAGGACAATAACTTATAAATTATTTGGTAAGACAATATTTTTATCTAAGGTTTCTTCGTTATTAAAACTCTCCAGTTGTATAAATTTAAATTTATTACAGTTGAAGATTAACCCAGTCATTTTTGCACTTCCCAGCATTGATTTATTATTGTTTACAAAATATTTATAGTTGGATAAGACATTTCTGCTCTTTCTGCTACGTGAAATTTCAAAAAAAAGTTTCAATTTCCTTCAACTTAAAATTTTGCAATTTTCATTTCTTCTTTATTTATTAATGCTATTTAATATTACATTTTTATAATATTTCAGTTTGTGTAACATTAATACAAAATATATTAGTTTTTATCTTTCTCTTTTATGTTTTTTAATTATAACTAGAAACTAATTAAGTTTACTAATATGTTGTGTGTGTATATATATAATTGTGTGTGTGTGGCATTAGGTATATGTTATGTGCATAAACAGTGGGAGATTCAATACTTGAGAGGCCCTTGGTGCAATTTAATTTTGAGGCCCCCTCTAAATATTTTCACTGCACCCTGCACCCTGCATTCTATGTGCACATTTTTTACTCTGGTAGGCAGTAGTGGATTATGTTCCTTTAAGGCCTTAGATGCAATTTTGTTAACAAATAAAATCATTAAATAATAACAAGTTTTTCTTTATAGTATACATTTTAAATGTTTACTAAAGTTTTAGAGGCATATTATCTTTTTGCTATGTTAAGGTGACCGATCGTCCTCCTTTTGTAAGTTCTGCTTTCCCTTGTAAAGTGTCCTCTTACATGTCTTATTAGATTAGTCTTCAAATATCGAAAAGGTGTCCACCTTTTCGATATTTGAAGACTAATCTCTAAATCTCTATATTTGATTGATGCTGAGCTCGATCAGTTGCATGTGATGTGTTTGTATTTGACGTGATGATTCATTGAGGGCTGGTACAATGCAGCGAGATGTAATTATGAGACATATGCGTTTCACACAGGAGACCTTGAGAGGGGCACTGCACGCAAGTGGCTTTGTTTCCTCCTCACTGAAACACAACACAGCACATATGCATGCAGTAGAGAATATAATGTATTATTGTTGCAATGAATAAAATGTTTCTTTTATTTACAATATTTATTCCTTCAATTTATTTGTGTTCTCCTTTTCTTTATAAAAAAGTTGGTCACCTCAGCTATGTAATTTTTGAGGCTTCTTGTGATGACAAAGCCCAAGGCACATGCCTAGTGCATTTATTGGGTAATCTGCCATTGTGCATAAATAAACAATAAAACTTTTTTTCTGATTTTAAAGAATGTTGTAAGTAATTTTAGATTTCTTACATTTATATTTAATGAAGTTTTAATAAAAATATAAATATTAGATGGATCGTTACATTGCTGCTGTTCTTTGATTTTTCTATTTATTTCATAGTTTTTATTAATGTCTCGTTTATTATTTTGATATTTTGGTATATTTAATTATAATGTATAATTAAATTAAAATTATAACATTAAAAAGTAACTTGATGATAAAAATATGTTTTCTTATTACAAATGTTTATTTTATTGTAATAGAAAATTTGTATATTTATTATATAAAATTTATAATAGTCCAAAAAATATAATTTGGATTATTAAACTAGTTAGTTCAAATATACTAAACCTAATAAAATGTATATTTAAATTTATATAAATTTCAAAGAGTATGACAAAGTCTTATTTAAAACAGAATTTGTTTCTGCATTTGGATAGTGATATTTTATTTAAAAATTTTGACTGAATTTGTTTAGTATGTTGGGTTT